TGAAAGACAATGGGAGAAAAAGAAAAAGGAAAGTGAAAGAATATTTAGGATAAGGTGTAAAGAATAAACAGATATAAAGTGTTAGAGATGAACATAAAAAGGAAGGTTAATTCAGAGGAATAGTGATATTGGAGATACAAAATAAGAGAAGAATAGCAGGAGGAGAAAAGGGTTGTAGGAGTAGCTGGGAAAGGGAAGGACGGTAGGAGGAGCTGGGAAAGGGAAGGGGATAGGGGGAGCTGGAAAAAGGAAGGTAGAATGAGCTGGGAAAGGGAAGGGNGGTCTCGTTGAGTAAGGATGGGACGGGTTCAACTCTAGCACTCAGAAACCTCAGTTTTTCATAAACCTTCCTAGAGCACGGACGTACGATGAATTAGCTCTGATGTTTTCAATCTTGTTACATAGCCATAGTTAATCAAGATGATAATTATGACAGGATTAATGATTATGAAGGATGGTAGGAGGAGCTGGGAAAAGGAAGGATGGTAGGAGGAGCTGGGAAAAGGAAGGATGGTAGGAGGAGCTGGGAAAAGGAAGAATGGTAGGAGGAGCTGGGAAAGGGAAGGGTAGAAGGTGCTGACTGTTAAATAACTATGCTAGAAAACTAACTTGACAGACAAATATTGTGAAAGGCAGGGTAGAGACTGGAATTGTAAATCTTTATAGTTGGCTACCCACAATTAAAGCCGAATATCCAACCTATTTTTGACCTAAATGGAACCAGCTTCTGTCCAGAACCCTACAATTATACCAAACCTTCAGTTTTTATTGTTTCCACTTTTTATTGCTAAAGAAGAAACCGTCAAAATTCTAATTTTCAAAGCATATGCATACTCCGGAATATAATTATAGGAATTAAGAACAATTTTCCCGTACAGTTTCATCTTTACTGAGGTTTATGGTAAAGGGTTTGTAGCTAGAAGCGCTCTTAGCAAGATGTTTTTACATTTTGCTCCTTGTTCAATACAATAAACATAGTTCTCCACAGTTTTTATTTTTAATAATCTTATTTCTTTCTTTCTTCAAATTGTATGCACCGTGTAATTTACAAATATTCGTCAACATTCTCCAGTTTTGGCGGCGTGCAAAAAATATCCCATTGTCAATTAACTTGATATTGGATTGAAGTACAGATTTTGACTGGGAAAAAATTGGGATGCAATTGAGAAGGTTTTGTATATTTTGATTTGAAAAAATTTAGGAGATTTTTTTAACGCAGAGTTAATAAATTTTAAACAAATGCCTGATTAGGTAGATAGGTGACATATCCGTAATTTTTATTAGAGCCTATCTTAAAAAAACAATGCAAGTCTATCAGACAAACACAATGGTAGTAATCAGACATTAAAAAACAATGCTAGTTTATCAGACAAACATAATGTTAGTCTACCAGACAAACACAATGATTTTCTATCAGAAAACACAAGGTTAGTCTATCAGACAAATACAATGCTAGTCTATCAGATAAATGGTACCAGACATGAACAACAAAGTACTACCAGACATACATCCTAAAAAAGTAGAAGCATTGGATTGAAGTACAGATTTTGACTGGGAAAAAATTGGGATGCAATTGAGAAGGTTTTGTATATTTTGATTTGAAAAAATTTAGGAGATTTTTTTTAACGCAGAGTTAATAAATTTTAAACAAAAGCCTGATTAGGTAGATAGGTGACATATTCGTAATTTTTATTATTTCGGCGTAAGAGAGGCTCAGGAAAGTACATATATAGTTGTGCAAGTTGTACAGCTTTCACGTATACAGTTTTGCAACTCTTACAGATACTTTAAAAAATGTTGCAAGTTGTATAGCTTGACAAGTAGTACATATAATGTACACTATTAATTTATCACACAAGTTAGAAATATCTAAGAGGTACGTCAATTCATTTGTACTGTGGCTTTAATCCTAACTTAAAAAAACTTTTTTTTTTTACAATTTTATAGAATTGAACCAAACCTGAGCTCCTGTTGTATCCTCTATCAACCTCTGGTTCCTCCCCCCTGTCCCAATACATCTAACCCAGGGCAGTTTATGACACTAGATAGAGAATGTGCCCGGAGCAGAAAATAAAAAAAATGAGTTTGAAACTGTTTGAAACTCTCAATAAAGGTTAAAAACGTTTGATGGGATCAAAACTATGTTAAAGCTACCAACAAATTTGAAAATACTGGAATTTGTCCGAAAGTATGACGATGCTTTGGATTCTCGTGTTTTTGTGTAAATATTAGCAAAATTCGCTGGTTCGACCTTGCTCCTGTAGTATTTTCTGCACGCTATATAGGATACAATTTACTTCGATACGTCTAATCTCTAAAGTTTTGAATCTTGAATTCTATAAAACCTGCTCCACGGTTCGTCACACTCCCATCCCTTGGCTAAGAAGAAATCCGGAAACCTTCTTTTTAGATTAGTTGAAAAAAGCCGGGTTCGTTTCCGGGGTGAACATAATACAGAGAAGAAGGAGAGAGTTAGACCTAGTTCTCCGGGTATACATATATCTACGTACTTTTTTATCCTTTGATCTTAAGATATTTTCCTATTTGAAAATCTCACTATGTAAATTGTAAAATGTACATTTAATTTTATCAATTAGAATCAATAAACGTATGTATACAATTTGTACCAAAAAATATATTGATGTTGAATTAGAGAAACCTAATTAAACTTTTTGTTTGAAAGAAAATAAAGATGAAGACAAATTAGATCTTGGTTCATCTCCAGAGCTAGCCAACCCATCCTTGTATTCCAAGTTCCCTCAGTCTATTTGAGTAATTATCTGCACGATTCTTTTCATACCCATTATATCTCCTCTTGTATATGTAAAAGAAAATGTTGATGTGCTCGGCGCGCGCAGAGGTTCATCAGGTCACACAATGTGCATACAGGGGGAATGTTCGTCACCCAACCTCACCCCATAATGTTCCGGCGCGGTACTAGAGGGATCAGGTCTCGTTGAGTAAGGATGGGACGGGTTCAACTCTAGCACTCAGAAACCTCAGTTTTTCATAAACCTTCCTAGAGCACGGACGTACGATGAATTAGCTCTGATGTTTTCAATCTTGTTACATAGACACTAGTTAATCAAGATGATAATTATGACAGGATTAATAATTATATATTTGCTCCTTGGAACTGTTAGCTCTGGTCTCACCAGAGCAAAGATCGGAGTTGACGGAGGATACTCCGGAATAGTTATAAAGATATCTCCAAACACTCCTGAATTACATTGTAGAAGAATTATATCAAAAAAAATAATTACTACCCTCTGAAACGAAAACACCGTGTTAAGATAAATATTTTCAATTTCAACTTCTATCTAAAGCTTCAGGTTAAAAGATTATTTATCTGCCGGTCCCTCCTTAAGTTTTCAAACAGATTTCAGACCTTTCAATTTTAAAGTTTTGTTCCATGGCGGGGCTTTTTCATCCGGTCTCCCCCTCCCCCTCCTCCTAGGCAAAACTGTGTCTCCTTCGCGAAGTATAATTGTCAGTTTTGAGGATTCAATACTGAAGGGTTGAGAGTTTAAACGGTGCTTGAATCTACAATTATTGAAGGATTTCTATGAGAACTTCCTTCTTGTCTGTAACTAACTAGGATCAAACCTAGGGTTAAGAACCGTCTCCCCCCTCCCCCATCCTCTGTGTATCTAGGGTTAAGCTGTAAGGAAGAGAGAGAACAAATAAACCTGAATTAAAACTAAACTTTAGACCAGGTTAACCCAACAACATGTCATCCTCTACTCATTTTTAATATTGATAATCATCCTGTACTCCTGTACATCTAGACAAATCTTATATAATCCTGTACACCTCGATAATCATCCTGTACTCCTGTAAATCTAGACAAATCTTACGTACTCCTGTACACCTAGACAATTCTTATGTACTCCTGTACACCTAAATAATCATCCTGTACTCCTGTAAATCTAGACAAATCTTACGTACTCCTGTACACCTTGACAATTCTTATGTACTCCTGTACACCGAAATAATCATCCTGTACTCCTGTACATCTAGACAAATCTTACGTACTCACACCTAGACAATTCTGTACACCTAGACAAATCATCTGTACTGCTGTACATCTATACAATTTTTATGTACTCCTGTTCTCTTATACAATGCTCCTGCAATTCTGTACACTTAAACAATACTCCTTGCCTCCTGTAGACTTAAATAATGCTCCTGTACTCCTGTACATCTAAACACAATCTTCCTTTACTTAAAAAATATTTAAACTTATTTACATCTTTTAAGGTGATTTTTATTGCAACATATTTTTTTGTACTTTTCATTCAATTCCTCCAGCTCAAGGTTTCTAGTCTCACGTTGAGTTTCTTGTTTTCCAGTTTAATAGATTCTTGGAGGTTGACTAGGATTGAACTTGATTATATATGATTAGTTGAGATGAGTCGGTTGGTTGAATACAACCTATTTCCTTGTGTTAATACGGGTCGCCGTGTCAATGCTGAATTCTGTTCAATATCAAATCTGTCCTAACTTTCTCCCTCCCTTCTCCTCAACCGTCAACCCGACATAATTCACAAGTTGTGCGAAACCTTCGTTTCATCATCATTCGTCTCCATGTCCCGGTTTGCAGAAAAATGTGCATGCAAGCAAAATCTACGCACCAGGCTTTCCCACGCATCCCCTGTCAGACTGATGACAAAGTACCTCGCTCCGTGATTAGAGCCGTGTTTTTTACTCCCCCCGAAAAACCGACTAAAATTTCCATAGAAAATATTCTGACCAGACTCTAGATATATAGATATATAGACACATGAAATACAAGCCGCGAACATACCGTCGTGAGCCTAGACCCCTTGTGTAGATTGAATTTTTATGGAATTTAATCAACTTTATATGAGCACTCATAACAATAGCCTGCTGATAGGGCATTATTATCTTGATCCTACACCGATAATAGATTTCCTTAATTGAAATCTTCTGATGATGACAAAACGCTCATCCTAACATAAATATAATTACTTCCTTGTTGCAGGACGCGTTGAGATTGTCATCTCTGGAGCTGAACTCTCGTCTCGGAGGAAAGGGTTATTTTCAATCCTTTATCCTGGTGGTTCCTCAGAACTGGGAGTCTATAAAATGTGGATTTACTCAAGATGCTCTGACACCTACCACGCCCTACAAGAATGCAGACGTGCTAATCGACTCAGATCATCCTATTTACGGCTCCGCCCCCTTTGTACAACACAGCAGTGGGTGTGGTGCTCAGGGCGACATGATATATCTCCCCTATTCCTTCTTATCCAACATGGAGAATGTTTCACATACTTCTAATGAGATTGTCCGTAACTGGTTGGAGTACAGGTATGGCGTGTTCAAAGATGAAACCTATCCTAGAGATCAGCTCTATCCCAACGTTTTTGTGAATGATGCTAATGACTCTGAACACGTAATGCCGACCAAGCAATTAGTGCTTTGCGAGGGAAAATCTTCTCAGCAAGTTATAGAATCCCATCCTGACTTTATCGGTATCCGAACCGATAACGAACCCATGCGGGCCATTGTTCCGGAGATAAAGATTGTTAAGGAACCAAGGATGAAATATATCCTGGCAATAGAAACCACCGCAAGTATGGAGGAGGGAGAGGATTGGAAATGGGTGAACAAGGCTGCCCAGAAACTGATTAGATATGATCTTCCGATCAACTCAGATCTAGCGGTTGTAACATTCAACAACATGACTAGGGTTGAGCACCCTTTGGTTCGGATTGAGAATGAGGATACAAGAGCTAAGTTGGCGGATACTATCCCTGGCAAGTATCACTTGGCTAATCATGATACTAGGTGTGTTGCCTGTGTTCTGCAGACAGTTCCTAGTATACTTGACGGAGACACAGTCGGATCTCATGTTATACTGATCACTAGAGCAGGTTCAGATTCTCTCTCTCTCACCGATGAGAAAATAATAACCGAGTATGTGAAAAACCACGGGATTAAAATATCAACAATTATGATCCCTACCCAGAGCCATTTAGCGTTCTATGATGATATTTCTCATATATCTGGTGGTAGGAGTTTCTTGGTCAGAAGATCCTTGTTTCCAATGGATACATACGTTTCCATCCTAGACTCTTTTCAAACTATCCTGGGAGACGGGACAGGGTTCTCCGACCCGTCCATGGTTACCATACATAAGAACGAACATTACACAGAGGGAGACAGCAATATAACCACAGGAACCTTCTCTCTAGATTCGTCTGTGGATGAAACCGTCCTGGGAGTGTATGTAGAAGATACTGAGGATCATCTAATAAAATCTGTCACGTTGGAAGATGAAGAGGGAACAGTTTATGGCCCGTATTCAAAAATGTCAACAACATTTGATCTTATCAACTTCAAGACCGTGAACGTTGTAGGAGACTCTCCCTTATCAAAGCATAAACCTGGTCGGTGGAGGTACACAATACAGTGGTTCAACAATCCGGAGCAATCTAGAAAAAGCATAGTTCGAGTAACCTCTCAGACCGGGATACTGAAAGAGAACGAGTTAACACTGAAGACCTGGGTTCGGAGAAGACAGGCTTTCAACGGATACAATCCTGTCGAGGTTTTTGCTCAACTCATGAAGGGAAGAAGTCCAGTTTCTGCCGCAAGGGTTTATGCTTCTATTGATGTGGAGAATGAGAACGGTTCTTTGATCAATCTCTCCAGGCTTAACTTGACAGACGATGGACTGGGAGATTCTGATATTCAACGTGGAGATGGAATTTACAGTGGATTCTTACTCAACTATCAGGGTTCAGGACGGTATACTTTCACTATCCATGTTGATAATGAAGCTAGGGAAGCCTACACTATAGACAGCAGTGGTGCTGGTGTACCCGGAGAATGCTGCGGGAGTTTTGTCGACGTTCCGCAGTCGAGGATGTTTCTAATGGATTCGTTCAGCAGAACAATACCAGGCTCAGTCGTGCATTTGTCAACCCTTCCCAAGGAAGATATTGCTCCGCCTTCCAAAATAGGCGATCTTATAATTGAACTGTCGTCAGACAACAAAACCCTCCTCGCTTCATGGACCTCACCCGGAGGAGACTTTTTGTTCGGAGGTGTCTCAAGATACAGATTTGTGTACAGTGAAAACGTTTCAGATCTTCTTGACACTAAGCTCCATCCTGATGTGTTGATTGAGATTGAAAAACGAACCGAGTTTGGCAATTCTATTTCCCAATTGTTAGATTTTCCTTTGTACAATCAAGACTATTTCATCGGAGTTTATGCATATGATTTGGCTGGAAATCGAGGAAGAATGTCAAATATACAACATGTGTATGTTCCAGCTCCCCCTCCACCCTCCACCCCCCTCCCAACTCCTATTCTTGGTTTACCACCCTCCTCCACCACTGACTGGGTGATGATTATTGCAATCTGCAGTGGTTTAGGAGCTCTGCTTATTGTCTGTGTTCTCTCCATCTCTTACTATATCTTTACATCAAGGAAGGAAAGACCAGATTCTCCTAGTCCTAGCAGTTGCACAACAAAGGATGATCTTCCAACCTCAGACCATACAGACTCCAGCTCATGCCATTCTGACCGACAGGAGAGCACACATTTAGACGTCAAGGACCTTGAGAGCCAGGTTACTGATCTCCATCAGATCATCGGAGAGCAGAGCAGGATAACTCCGGTATACTGGAGTGCGTCCCAGCTCCTCTCTAAGCTTGAATCTCCAGACAGAAACCCTCGTAAAGAGTCTTTTCAGAACCAATCCTATGGGTACTATGGGACCTCTCTGAGCAGAACTTACTCCGACGAGGTTTCCAGAAACGGAGTTGTGAATAGAACATTTGACCATGAACCTGTAGTGAGAAATTCATCTTTAAACGGAACAATAGATCACGAATCCTATCCTCAGGAATACTCCCAACTCCAAGATCAGGTTCCAAGAACCCCGAGACTTGAACCAAGACCTTCGCGGTTTGAGCGAAATAATTTGTATCGAAGCTCTAGAATAAATAGAACCTATGACGAGGATTCCTATCAAGGTTTTGGTACGCCCCTTCCTCCGGGCAGATCAGAGACACAGAGACACGCAGAGATCCCGGATGAGTTCTGCATAACTGTCAGCAGTATTAGTAATAGTGACTCCGAGAGTTTATCTGATAAACTCCGTCCACCGCATATACTTCCTAAACCTAGAAATATAACTGAGGTTTAGGATGGAGAAAGCTCCTGGATTCTTCAATATGGTTTTTAGCTTTAAAATAATCTAGTCAGAATTGAAAAGGCTGTGAATTTATATAATTATGTACAAAGTATTAAACTTATGAAAAATAAATAATTTTGATCAATTTTTCTTTTTTTATTGTTGATAATGTAGTTAAAAGCTCAATTTGCAACATCACTGATCCAAATGTTGAAAGAATGTTTATAAATTTTGAAAGATCTAGTAATTTGAAAACAATCTATTCGCATCTGATCTCCAAAATGCTTAGAAAACTTGTGCACATTTTCAGATTTGTGTAATACTTGAAACCTTCTCCCCATTAATCTCAAGTAATTTTGAACTAAAAAAATGAGTAATCTTGAACTAAAATGAGTAATCTTGAACTAAAAAGAATAATCTTAAACTAAAATGAGTAATCCTGAACTAAAATGAGTAATTCTAAACTATAATGAGTAATCTTAAACTATAATGAGTAATCATAAACTAAAATGAGAACTGAAATGAGAAATCTTGAACTTAATGAGTAATCTTGTACTAAAATGAAAATGAGTAATCTTTAACTAAAATGAGTAAACTTGAACTTAAATGAGTAATCTTGAACTAAAAAAAGAAATCTTGAACTCAAATGAGTAATCTTGAACTGAAATTAGTAGTCTTGAACTTAAATGAGTAATTTTGAACTAAAATAAGTAATCTTGAACTTAAATAAGTAATTCTGAGCTAAGAAGAGTAATCTTGAACTAAAATGAGTAATCTTAAACTAAAATAAGTAATCTTGAACTAAAATAAGTAATCTGAAACTAAAATGAGTAATCTTGAACTGAAATGAGTAATCTTGAACTGAAATAAGAAATTTTGAACTAAAATGAGTAATCTTGAACTAAAAAGAATAATCTTAAACTAAAATGAATAATCCTGAACAATAATGAGCTAAGAAGAGTAATCTTGAACTAAAATGAGTAATCTTGAACTAAAATGAGTAATCTTGAACTAAAAAGAATAATCTTAAACTAAAATGAATAATCCTGAACAATAATGAGTAATCCTCAACTAAAATGAGTAATCTTGAACTGAAATGAGTAATCTTGAATTAAAATGAGAAATCTTGAACTACGATGAGTAATTCTTATTTAAAATGGTAATATTGAACCTAAATGAGTAATCTTGAACAGTAATCTTGAATTGAAATGAGAAATCTTGAGCTGAAATGAGTAATTCTAATTTAAAATGGTAATCTTGAATCTAAATGAGTAATCTTGAACTAAAATGAGTAATCTTGAACTAAAATGAGTAATCTTGAACTGAAACGAGTAATCTTATGTATTGGGACAACCTGTATTGAATATTGTATACAAGAGCTATGTATTAGGACACTCTGTATTGTATATTGTATACAAGAGCTATGTATTGCGACACCCTGTATTGTATATTGTATACAATAGCTATGTATTGGGACACCCTGTAATTACAAGAGCTATGGATAGGGACACCCTGAAGTGTATATTGTATAAAAGAGCTTTGTATTGTGACACCCTGTAGTGTATACTATATACAAGAGCTGTGTATTGGGACGCCCTGTATTGTAAATTGTGTACAAGAGCTATGTATTCGGACACCCTGTATTGTATATTGTATAAAAGAGCTATGTATAGGGACACCCTGTATTATATATTGTGTACAAGAGATATGTATTATGACACCCTGTATTGCATATTGTGTACAAGAGCTATGTATGGGACACCCTGTATTGTATATTGTATACAAGAGCTATGAATGGAACACCCTTTAATGTATATTAAATACATGAGATATGTATTGGGACAGCCTGTATTGAATATTGTATACAAGAGCTATGTATCGGGACACCCTGTAATGTATATTGTATACAAGAGCTATGTTTTGGGACACCCTGCAATGTATATTGTATACAAGAGCTATGTATTGGGACACCATATAATGTATATTGTATACAAGAGCTATGTATACTAATGTGCGAAGATGATATGAAAGTGTGTGAGCCGGGAAGAAATATGAAGATATGTTCAGTATTTACGTATATGGAGCAGAGAGATGACCTCTTCTAACCTACAGCTATAAAATGCAAATTTAGTGTTAAAAATGACAAAATGGTGTTGGTTTCGGCCTATGAGGAGGGGAGGGGGGGGGGGGGGGGGGGAGAGAGAGAGAGAAACATGGATGGTTTGGGCCTATGAGGAGGGGAGGAGGAGGGAGGGGGAGAGAAACATGGATGGTTTGGGCCTATGAGGAGGGGAGGAGGAGGGAGGGGGAGAGAAACATGGATGGTTTGGGCCTATGAGGAGGGGAGGGGGGGGGGAGAGAGAAACATGGATGGTTTGGGCCCAGGATGAAGGGGAGAGAGAAACATGAATAGGTTGGGCCCAGGATGAAGGGGGGGGGGGGGAAACATGGATAAAATACCACCTGCAACTATACGAGCGCGTGCATATGTAATTCGGGGACAGGATCATTCTTCGCTTGCACTTTAAGTTATAAAGAGACTGCCATCTAATTTTGAAGTGATATCCTTTAGAGAAAGTGTTACTTATTCCGCATTTATTACCTTCATAATCAACTAGGAGTTGTTCATCCACAAGAAAATATGTTTGTAAAAAATTAGACAACAAATAAATGCTAAATTAGAAAAATTGAAAAGAAAAAAACGTTAAAACCTGCCAGGAGGCCCGTTTAAACTTACTTTTCATTTACCTTCTTATAACCATGGGACTTGGAGTTAAGAGTAAATCTGCCGAATCATACAGCAATAAGACTTGGAGCCTTGGAAACATTATCTGCAAGACCAACCTTTCAACCTGAACCTAGTTCTCTTGGTTACCTTCATCTCTAGAATGACCTGGAGCTTCGGTTGAAACATGAACCCTGTAGGAAAATGTGTAATTAAATCTTAATATTCACGCTCCTAGAAGATTAAAATTTTGTAAGCTTCAGGTTCTTAACCCGTTTTGTTTGAATCTCAAGAACATTATTACCTAAATAATGTCGAATGCTTGAAAAATTCTAAATAATATTTTTCATTCTAAAGAGTTAAATCTTTGCCAACAACTTAATATATTAAAATCCCTATGTATTTGCAACCTGGTCGTGTATTTTAATTTAAAAATTAGATTATGAGGCAAAAACTGAAATCCTTAAAAAAAAGATCCAAGATTCTCGGATCTAGTATCTAGAATCTAAAATCTAGGATCAAGGATCTAGGATCTAAGATCTAGGATCTAGGATCTAGGATCTAGGATCTAGGATCTAGGATCTAGGATCTAGGATCTAGAATCTAGGATCTAGAATCTAGGAACTAGGATCTAGGATCTAGGATCTAGAATCTAGGATTAAGGATCTAGGATCTAGGATCTAGGATCTAGGATCTAGGATCAAGAATCAAGGATCTAGAATCTTGGATCTAGAATCTAGGGTCTAGAATCTAGTATCTAGAATCTAGGATCTAGAATCTAGGATCTAGAATCTAGGATCTAGAATCTAGGGTCTAGAATCTAGTATCTAGAATCTAGGATCTAGAATCTAGGATCTAGAATCTAGGATCTAGAATCTAGGATCTAGAATCTAGGATCTAGAATCTAGGATCTAGAATCTAGAATCTAGGAAGGTGGGACAGGATGTTTATAAGGTCGAACTTGATGAATGTAGATTGGTTGTAGAGGAAACTATGTCAGATATTGACTGATTCTATTCTAGGAATATTGGTCTAAAATGTGAAATGTTACGTTGTTCCACCCCGGCTCAATACCATCCTTCACCCTGGAGCAACCAGTATTAGAGATCATCATATGCAAACCAGAATTCTCACAACTAAACGTATTCTCTTCTTCAAATGTGTTTTTAGTGGCCGAAGTCAATAGCTCGATAAACTCTTATATTTACAAAAAATCACTTATTTGTCTGCTAAAGTTTAGTGACTGCCAAATATGCGATTTGTTTGTTAAATATAATCTATTTTTTTATTTCTAAATTTAGAATGTATAATGGTTCTATGACATTCACTCTAGTTTAGGGTACAGAGCATATGACGTAGAGCTAGTGTAGAAACACCTTTAGTAGGATCAAGCCTTTATAATGTTTATAATCAACCTGTATTGAATATTGTATACAAGAGCTATGTATTGGGACACCCTGTATTGTATATTGTATACAAGAGCTATGTATTGGGACACCCTCAAAGGATGATCTTCCAACCTCAGACCATACAGACTCCAGCTCATGCCATTCTGACCGACAGGAGAGCACACATTTAGACGTCAAGGACCTTGAGAGCCAGGTTANGTACAACTATATGAAAGTATAAAGCACATTCTGTACTAATATATAGAAGTATTTTATATTCTGTACAACTATATGAAAGTATAAAGCATATTCTGTACTAATATATAGAAGTATTTTATATTCTGTACAACCGTATGAAAGCATAAAGCAGATAAAAGCATTGCATAGTTCGTAGAAATATATAGAATTTCGCATTGACTGTACAAATATATAAAAATATTGCATAGTTCATACAAATATAAAACTTAATACATGTTAATGTAATTTTATATTCTGTGCAAATAAATATACATATTGTACATAAACAGATTCCCGGATTAGATAGTTGTAACAAATTGCATGATTTGAACCAGACATATAGAAGGATTGAAGATTCAAGCTGAAAATTACTATTTCTCGGAATCCTGTGAACCCAAGGTTGAAATTATAATTTTGTTGTGATATTTTCCACACATTCGTAAACCTGATCCCTACATTTATAATTTGGGGTAAATTCCTCGGGCACTGCACAATCAAATCCACATCAAGCACGATAAAGGTAAAGGGATAAACGGAATGAGGAGGAGGGGGGAGGGGAGTATGTAGAGATCTAAGGGAGAGAGGG